AGGTCCAGTCGTGGCCGACTCTGGGGTTGCGGCGCTCATCTCGCTTTACTGGCTGAGGGAGCTGGCGTACAGCTTCCAGGTCATGTGGTCAGCAGGACTAAGCCGCTTCTGGCAAACCAGAGCAGCGCACGGAAACGCCGTTTACCTTCCCGCCGGAGCGGGACCTATTTATCTACTTGCACTTTGACGTGCTTTCGAACTGCTAGGTTGGAAGGAGCAGGGACCGAGCAACGGGAGCTCACCCCGTCGCGGGGATTCGAACCACCAACCTTCTGATCGGCAAGCTCTAGGCTCTGTGGTTTAACCCACAGCGCCACCCGCTTCCCTATTAGTATTATTAGTTGTGTGCAAAAGCTCAGCCTTCCTCAGCACACACAGCAGGTTTGGGGGAAGGGCTTTTGCTCAGGGGTGGAGCACAACGGCTATGTTCTACCTCCACCATCAGACGGACAGAGAGAGACAGAGAAGTTCAGAGGTCCCCACCTGGACGCAGGCCCCTTCGTGCTGGTAGGTGCCCACGGGGCAGTGGCACCCTTCCTCGCAGCCGTCCGAGAAGCAGTCCATCTGGCGGGTGAGATGGGCGCAGCTGTAGGGGCACCCCTCTTCCTGCAGGCATTCGCGGTACAGACGCCCCACCGGGCAGCCGACCTCTGAGAGGATGGGAGAAGGATCGCAGCAGTGACCAGAGGCCCTTCTCTCGGTCCCTTGGGGAGGACCAGTGCCGGATTTATGTATAAGCTGAACAAGCTATAGCTTAGGGCCCCACTCTCTTGGGGCCCCCAAAAAAATTAAAGGAAAAAAACCCTGGATGTGCATTTCCAAAATATAAGATAAAAAACAAATAGAATAAAACCTACCTACAGCAACAGTGTTTTGTGTTGTGTCAGCTCCTATGGTTTAAGTCATGGGCCCCGCCTGCTAGTCTGCTCCCTCAGATATCACTGGTTTGCTCCTTTCTATATATAGGGTGCCTACATTCTGCTATTTATAATTATTAGTAGTTGGCATCATATATTTACACCTATTATTATTTCATGTTATAGGACTTTATAGAGACTAGATGCTGAGTCTTTGTAAATAGTGTTTCTAAAGGAACTTTCGTTCTTGCCAAATGCCAATGTGTTTGCATTATTAAGTTCGTTATGAAAAAAATAATTTTAAGTTAGAGCTTAGTAATTATTTCACTATTAATATACTTCTTAATTGTATTTCAGTTCAGCAATTACTTTGATATAATGCATATTTTGTGATGTGCAAATGGCTTGAGATACCTATGAGGTCCATAAATGACCATATAGTATATATTCAACACACAAAAAACAGCAAAAATTTGTTGCTGACAAAGGACAGCTGGACATAGAAAGGGCCCCGTTACCTTCAGCAGCTTTAGGGCCTCATCAAACCTAAATCTGGTCCTGGTGGGGATGCCTAGCAGGGCCTTCTCGGTGGTAGCACCTCCCAGGCAACTTTGAAACTCGCTGCCTGGAGAAGCTGGATTGGGGAGGAGACAGTGGGCCGGTCTGCGCTCCTCAGAGAAGTGGGGAGTTTCAATATTGGGAGGAGCCACCCAGTGGCGGAGGAACCCTCTCTGTCGCCTGGGGGGGGGGCAAGACATCGGGGGGGTGATGCATGCAAGACATCTGTATGGACTGCGCATGCGTGGCAGCCGGTACAGTAGCCACGCGAGCGGTGCCCACACTGACTGCGTGTGCGCCCTCCGCTGCTCTACAGCTGGGGGGAGGCAGCGGGCCATCTTGTCAACCCCACCCCTTCGTACGCCCCTGGAGCCAGACTCACCAAGGCACACTTGGGTGTTGCAGGTCTTGCTCTGGGCAGCCAAGCCCTGGCAGTCGGGCTCCCGGCACCGGCGGATCCGCATTTGCTCTCCTCCTCCGCAGGAGACGCTGCAGGGCTCCCAGGGGGACCAGTTGCCCCAGGCGTCCTCCTCTGTTAGGAGACGGAGGGGGCAGAGGTCAAGGGAAGGAAGGAGGGAAGGAAGGAAGGAGAGAGGGAGAGAGGGAAGGAAGGAAGGAAGGAGGGAAAACAAAACAAAACAGGAATGGTTTTTATTATTATTTTTAAAAGTTTAGAACAGAAAAGTTAAAAACACATCAGTTTTTTATTATTTTTATCACTTTATTAATTTAAATTTTAATAATAATTATAATAATAATAATATTCTGTTGGGAGCAGCCCAGAGTGGCTGGAGAGGCCCAGTCAGATCAGCGGGGTATAAATAAATTATTATTATTATTATTATTATTATTATTATTATTATTATCTTCCCCCGTTCTCCTCACCTGGGCAATCTTGCTGGCTCTGGCAAGCTTTCTGCTGCTCCCTGCTGCCCAGGCACCCCCTGCCTCCGTTCTGGGGGGCTGGGTGGTCACACTCGCGGAATCGGAACTCGGCTCCCTCCCCGCAGCTCTGGCTGCAGGGCGACCAGGGGCCCCAGGGGCCCCAGCCCCCATCCAGGCGGCACGAGGGGTCCACGTCGCATTGCAGGTGCCCGGCCACGCAGGTGCTGGGGGAGAAGAAAGGGGGCAGAGGGATGCTAATGGCCGGGCAGACATAACACCATTCACATTTCTTTATTTTTATTTACAGAAATTGTTTCCATTCTGTGTTTCACATTTCCACGAGAAAAAGAAGGAAAAGAATCTCTAAGTGGTTTATAAGCTGCTTTGAAACAGAAGGTCACAAAATGTCTGAATGAAAGATTATGAATAAAAAGCAAAGTCAAAATTCCATATATAACTGTTCCGCATTTGTAAGAAACAGATTTTTCACTTTGGAACTGCCTGCCACTTGACAACAGTCAGCAGCCTTCATTGTACACTTTTGGCACCTGCTAAAAACATTTTGGTTTAGACAAGCCCAACCAGACATCTAGAATGTGGATGGGTGTTTTAGTCTGGTTTTAGCTTACTGCTGATTTTTAATTTTGGGAAGGTATTAAATTGTTGTTTTTAATTGTTTTTTTTATCGATAAACTTACTGTTTTCTTTTCTTTTTGTAAACCACCTTGAGGCTTGTTTGTTTGTTTTTAAATGATTTTTATTAAATTTTTAACAATAAGTACATCAAACATCATATTTCCAAAACAGGAGCTACAAAATCCCCCAAACTGGAATTTCCACAGTAGTAACACACAAAAGAACTGATTTGGTGTTAAGCCAGCATAACATCATCATAAATTAATGGGACAAACTAATTGAACTGCCAAGAATATAGACTAAATCACGATGCACATAAAAAATGAAACAAAACCAAAGAATGGTGCAAAATCCTAAAATAAATAATGATTGGAAATGGACTGAAGTAATTAAAAAGTAAGTGCAGATTTGAGGAAAGGATTGCCCTCACTTGAGTAAGAACTGCTTTCATCAGCTCAATCCTAAATTTAAGTTTAGGGCTAAAATTTTAAGGCTTCATTTATCCAACCTGATGTTAAAAACACACACACAGAGAGAGACTTTAAAACCATGCATTTAAGCAAATACGGATGTTAAGGTTTTTATCCTAAAAGTGATATTATTATATAACTCATGCTCTCGTTTTGCATTTGCAGTTCAGCTACTGATTGATTGTGTGACTGCAGTACATTGTTTATTGTTTTCATCAATTGTTTCATTAGATAGTAAGATCCATGTTAAATTGCTGTTTTGGGGGTTGTTTTTAAAAGTCTGGAACAGATTAATCCATTTTGCATTCCTTTCTATGGGAAAGCGCACCTCAGTTTTGGAACACTTTGGTTTTGGAACGGACTTCCGGAACAGATTAAGTTTGAGAACCAAGGTACCTCTGTATTTATATAACTGCAGCACCAGCTAGTGGCAAAAGATATGTTATTTTCCACCCACTGGTGAGCCTAGTTCATGAAAGAAGAGGAGCTTTAGGTAAATTTTGTCAGCCATGCCATGCAAAGAGCTGGTGCCAGAAGATCGCCGTGTTGAGCTTATAAAGTCAGCCCAAGCTGCAGTGAAATTTAGGTGTTTTCCACCCAAAAAACAAACAAAGGGTGCGTAAATCTTACAAAATAAACCAAATAAAGGTATTAAAAGCGTCATTAGCCTGCCTTGGCCAGACTCACCACTTCTGGCAGGGCCCAGCCACCGTCTCCCCAGGCTGGACGTACTCCCAGGGGGGGAGCCCTGACCACAGAGAGAGATTCCATCCTTCGGGGACACCTGCCAAGACAGGAAGAAGAGGGAATAATTCAGAGTCGGCCGTTTCCTCCTGCTCCCCTTGCCCTCCTTGTGTGAATCAGGCCCCCTCCATCTTGAATTCCCTCCTCTAAAATCATAGAATCATAGAGTTGGAAGAGACCACAAGGGCCATCGAGTCCAACCCCCTGCCAAGCAGGAAACACCATCAGAGCACTCCTGACATATGGTTGTCAAGCCTCTGCTTAAAGACCTCCAAAGAAGGAGACTCCACCACACTCCTTGGCAGCAAATTCCACTGTCAAACAGCTCTTACTGTCAGGAAGTTCTTCCTAATGTTTAGGTGGAATCTTCTTTCTTGTAGTTTGGATCCATTGCTCCGTGTCCGCTTCTCTGGAGCAGCAGAAAACAACCTTTCTCCCTCCTCCATATGACATCCTTTTATATATTTGAACATGGCTATCATATCACCCCTTAACCTCCTCTTCTCCAGGCTAAACATGCCCAGCTCCCTTAGCCGTTCCTCATAAGGCATCGTTTCCAGGCCTTTGACCATTTTGGTTGCCCTCCTCTGGACACGCTCCAGTTTGTCAGTGTCCTTCTTGAACTGTGGTGCCCAGAACTGGACACAGTACTCCAGGTGAGGTCTGACCAGAGCAGAATACAGTGGCACTATTACTTCCCTTGATCTAGATGCTATACTCCTATTGATGCAGCCCAGAATTGCATTGGCTTTTTTAGCTGCCGCGTCACACTGTTGGCTCATGTCAAGTTTGTGGTCAACCAAGACTCCTTGCCAAATGATTGCCAAGCCCAGCAAACTAGGCTGGGAAAGATCTGTGGCTCAGTGGCAGAGCAGCTGCTTGGCCTGCAGAAGGTCACTGGTTCAATCCCCGGGAAAGTCACTGCCTGCCAGTGTAGACAACACTGAGGTAGGCGGACCGGCTGCTTCCTATGCTCCTAGTAGTTGGGTGGTAGTGAAGGGACAGGTTACCCAAACCTGACTGTGTAGTCACCCCAACTAGGCCCCAAACTTCCCAAATTCTTTCTTTGAGGATCCATTAGCTAAAATCCATAAGCTTGAGTTGTATAACACAAAGTAGCCGAATAAACAAAGCCTTCCCCTTTATCAGTCCATGAAGGCGTAATAGATGGCCTTGTCAGTTCCAAGTAAAGAAGGGATGGCGCATCCAACTTATCTTACCGGTTGTAACTATCCTGACCACGGTGGTGCACAGACCCCAGGAATGGCGCCAGGAGTGCCAGATAAAAGTACAGAAACAATTTCTATCCATGCTCAAGGATACAAACTTACGTGTACAAACTCATGAGGCTGGATTCCTGGGGAGGGGGAAAGGGGACCTGAAGGGAATATAGGCTGTATGTAACTGCTCTTTAGGTGTGCTTGCTTGTGACTGATCACGCAGTGCCTTTCTGCTATTCCGGAGAGCAGAAATATACTCCTTCTCTGAACCTACCCTTGGTGTCTATTGGCTCCTCCCTCCCTCCTGGGAGCAACGATCACCCGACCCATGGGAAAGGTCTGAAAGGCTACAGTAGAACACGTGCTTGGCATGCAGAATGTCCTTGATTCATTCAATTCCCCTGCCTGAAATCCTGGAGAGCTTCTGCCAGCCAGTGTCCTCATTACAGAGCTAGATGGGGCAATGGCCTGACTCCAAACAAGGCAGCTCCCTTTGTTAAAGATTCACTCACCCAGCCAGGTGTTCTGGTACTTGCAGCGGCACTGCGCTGGAGGGACGCACACACCATCCTGCAACAGCTGCCCGCCTGGGCAGGCGCACGAGAGCTGGCACTGGGGGCTGTCCAAGCAGGCGGTGTCCGGGTGCAGGTCCTCGCAGGTGCGTGGGCAGGCCTTGCCGCAGGGGAACGACACCTGGCCCCCGCTGCAGTCTGGGGGGAACCAGGAAAAAGCCACTCAGATCTCTGCGCGCACCTTGGGGGTGAACTTTCACTCCGTGTTCCCACCCAGGGCCGGATTTAGGTCTGATGCGGCCCTCAGCTCCTGAAGGTAATGGGACCCTTTCTATGTCCAGCTGCCCTTCGTCAGCAACAAATTGTCACTGTTTTTTGTGTTGAATATTTGCTATATGGTCATTTATGGACCTCATAGGCATCTCAAGCTATTTGCACATCACAAAATACGTATTTTATTAAAGTCATTGCTGAACTGAAATACAATTAAGAAGAAGTATGTTACTAGTGAAATAATTATTAAGCTCTAACTTAAAACGATTTTTTTTATTCATAAGAATAAGAAACGTAATAATGCAAACACAATGGCATTTGGCAAGAACAAAAGTTCCTTTACTGTAGAAACACAGTTTACAAAGACTCATAACCTAGTCTCTATAAACTTCCTATAACATGAAATAATAATAGGTGTAAATATATGATGCAAACTGCTAATAATTATAAATAGCAGAATGTAGGCACCCTGTATATAGAAAGGAGCAAACCAGTGATATTTGCGGGAGCAGGCGAGCAGGCGGGGGCCATTCCTTACATCATAGGAGCCGACACAACACAAAACTATGTTGCTGTATGTAGGTTTTATTTTATTTGTTTTTTAATCTTATATTTTGGAAATGTACATCCCATCAGATGTCAAGGAAATAAACAGCTATCTGCCTTTCAGAAGACACCTGAAACCAGCCCTGTTTAGGGAAGTCTCTAATGTTTGGTGTTTTATTGTGTTTTAAATATTCTGTTGGGAGCTGCCCAGAGTGGCTGGGGAAAGCCAGCCGGGTGGGCGGGGTACGTACGTACGTATAAATAAATAAATAAATATTATTATTCCTGTTCATCAATATCAATCTCTTAGCAACCCTTACGGCAGGTGGGCTCCATTTTCGCTCTCCCATTGTCACTTTTCACGCAACAGCTATAGAGTTCAAACGAAAATTCCCCTCTGAAAATCTTAAGTTCTTCTCCAACGTATTATTGATATAATCCCACGCTTTCTCCCAAAACTTACTAACCGTGGGACAGTGTAAAAGCTGGTGTTTCAAAGGAGCCTGATCCAATTAATTTATTACCAATAAATAAAATTCTGTTGGGCGTGAGCGAATTTTCCTTCTGAAAATGTGGGTATAAAGGGTGTTTTTTGAGGACCACTGTTGTATGTTCTGACATTCATCCCCCCAACGTCAGTGCCACCCCCACCTCTCTGATTATGGGGCTTTTTGGGGGGCAACAACAGCGCCCCCCGGAATGTCTTTTTTGTTTTGTTTTGTAATTTTATTTTTTTACCAACCACCGAAACACAAACAGTGAAACCCCCCAGGGGTTGGGTATACAATATTCAACAATATACATATTCAATAATAACATATTCAAATCAACCATATGTACACTATATACCTTAACACTCTTCCTTCCACAAGGTTTATTTAACTTTTAACATTTTAATTCTCCCAGATTGTTCAAACCTACTCAAATAATTCAATATCTTCTCAAACCAATCCTCCCCTTTCTCACTGACCTTAAACCCTTTCATTCTGTGTATCTTCACAGTTAAAGGTAAAGGTACCCCTGCCCGTACGGGCCAGTCGTGTCCGACTCTAGGGTTGTGCGCCCATCTCACTTAAGAGGCCGGGAGCCAGCGCTGTCCGGAGACACTTCCGGGTCACGTGGCCAGCGTGACAAGGCTGCACTGGCGAGCCAGCACCAGCACAGCACACGGAAACGCCGTTTACCTTCCCGCTATAAAGCGGTACCTATTTATCTACTTGCACTTAGGGGTGCTTTCGAACTGCTAGGTGGGCAGGAGCTGGGACTGAACGACGGGAGCTCACCCCGCCGCGGGGATTCGAACCGCCGACCATACGATCGGCAAGTCCTAGGCACTGAGGTTTTACCCACAGCGCCACCCGCGTCCCATCTTCACAGTTAGGTATTCTAAAATTATCCGCCCAGCCCATTGCACCTTCTCACCTTCGCACTCGGTGACTCCGTCGTGGCATGAGAGGGTCTGCCGGGCTTCGCCAGGGCAGGGAAGCCCCCCAAAGCGGGCAGGGGGGTTGCTGCACTCCCGGCTCCGGGCCGACTCTCCTCCGCAGGCGTCGCAGGGGGACCAGGGGCTCCACGTACTCCAGGCCCCGTCCACTGTGAGGAGCAAGAGAAAAGGGGTGTGTGGGTCTGCTGAGCCCTTCCTCTTTCCTCGATATCAATTTTTATTAAGGGTTTTCAACGTAAAATACAATAAAAGCCAAACTGATCAAAAGAAGGTAAGCAGGAAAGAAGAGAGAATAAGCAAAGGAAGGAAGAAGAAGAGAAGAAGGGAAAGAAGGGAAAATAAACACAAGGTGCTCCGTTGTAATTATACTGTAATCCAGGCTTCCTTGAACTCGGCCCTCCAGATGTTTTGAGACTACAATACTATCATCCTTGACCACTGGTCCTGCTAGCTAGGGATCATGGGAGTTGTGGGTCAAAAACATCTGGAGGGCTGAGGATGAGGAAGCCTGGGTGTTTCTATTTTGCTTAATGTATGTAGGGTTTGGTGTCAGCGTTGCTCGTGCTGTTCATTTGTGTTCCTTTGGTGGTGAGAGAGGTTGGGGTTGGCCTAGGGTGTGGCTGTTCATTTGTGGTTGGCCGTGGTGATCTTTGTTTCCATGTGTGAGTGGGGTGGGTGGGTGTTTTGGATCAGGTTAGCCATATTGATTTGTATGCTGTTGGTGGATTATTGTCACTGTCTTGTTGGGCTGTGTACAAGATAAAGGGGAGCCATACCGGGATGAAGGCGCCTTCTTCTGTTTGTCCCTGTGTCAGTTTCAGTTTATTGGTAAATTTTTCTAGTAGGGCTGTTTCCCATACTATTTGGTACCTTGGTCCATGCTTACTCCTGACAGGTCTCTCCAGTGTCTGGCTATGATGTTTCTGGCTGCTGAAAGTAGGTGGGTTATGAGTTCTTTGTGGTGTAAGTGGGCATTGTTGTCTTGGAAGCTGTTTAGTAGGGTCAATTCTGGGGTGATGTCTAATACTTGCTTAGTTATTTTACATATTTCTCGTATGGCTGTTGTCCAGAATAGTTGGATTTTGTGACACTCCCACTACATGTGGAGGTATGTGCCTGTGGAGGTGCACCCTCTCCAGCATTTTGGTGAGGTTCCTCAAATCAGTAATGTTCAACTATGAAGCTTGGTGGGTGCCAGTCGCTGCCTCTCAGCCTAGCCTACCTCTCAGCGCTGTTGTGACGATTAAACGGAGGCGAGAAGAACCCTCTAGGTCACCTTGAGCTCCTCAAGGTGGGCTATAAATGCACAATAAGAATATTGCACAGTAGGAAGAAAGGGGGCTGAGCCCCCCCTCCCCATCTGAGCCTTTCCCTCCCTAACCACTTTTACAAAAGTTCATTTGCGGGATCTGTGAGTCTGTGAGCCACCCTCCTGTTTGCCCCAGAGGTTTGGTACCTGGGCAGAAAGAGTCCATGGGGCACTCCTTCCTCTGGAGCTGGATTCCGCTGTCGCCGTGCTGCTCCTGCAGCCCCTCGCACTCGGGACCCCCGTTCTGGGGCTTGGGGCAAGCGCAGGCCCGGTAGCGGGTGACCATCTCGTTGCCACACGTCCTGGAGCAAGGGCTCCACGGGGACCAGTCGCACCAGCCGCCGGGAACTGGAATAAGGAGGGAAAGAGGTTGCTGGAGTCCTAATGAAGCCTTTCCCATGGGGGGGCTCCTTCCTCTCTGTGAGGCCCCCCTCTGCCCGGCAAAACCTCCCTGTGGGACTCACCGGCACAAGCTTGACTGGTGCAGATCAGCTTCCCTTTGGAGCAGGTGCTGGGAAGAGAGAAAGAGGCAGGAGATGGGAGACGCCCTTGTCTGTCGTCAATGGGCAAGATAACAAAAGCATTCTGGGAAATGATTTATAACGAGTTGAAAAAAA